AATATATGTAGAGGCATACAAACTGTAGCTAAAGAATTTAAAATTTTCAGTATGGTTGACCTAATATTTTTATACAATGGATATAAAATTTCTAGCAGCATGACTAGATTAAAGATTGAAAAATAAAGGGGAAAAGTATTTTTAAAGAAGAAAAAGCTTAAATATAATACCTGCTTTAAAAAAATAGGCTTTTATATACAATATTACGACTCATTTTTATCCAGATGTGATGAGGTTATGAAAGGTATGTCCCCATAGCAACCAAATCGTACTAGAACTTTATGAGGGGTCTCTGAATAGTGTCTTAGTTGGAGATACCCCAAAAGCAGACTCTGAGACAAGGATTCAAGTTCAAGCAGTTTATTTGTGAGGTGATTCCAGGGAACACCCACAGGAGTGTAGACAAGTGAGACAAAGAAAGGAAGGCAGCCAGTACAGGGTGCATTGTCATGCCGGCTACCGCCGTGGCAATTGGAAATTAATGCCACTGGCGAACTCTGGAGTCACTGTAGGACTTGGGTATTTGTTTATTCACTCCTGTCAGTCATTGGTTGAGAGCGCTTGGGGGTGTGGACTGTTGATTTTCTCACCCCTCAGCCCTGCCTCCATGGTGGTGTTGTGGGAAGAAGGCCGGGGTTTTTCACAGCCGGAGAAAGCCCTCAGGGAGAGAGATGCAGGCGCTGGCAGTTGTCAGTGGGCCAGGTGTTGAGGAGGATGATAAGGCGGGGGTGGGGTGGGGTGGGGAATTGGGGATCGGCAGGACTCACGCAGCCTCTGCTTCAAAGAGATTATTTTAGTTCTTCCCTGAAGATCTTTCGGAATGGTATTTTCAAAAATTTGATATTGTTGAAATGAAGACCGCTCGTGGGAAGAATGATGTTATTTGTAGGTTTCTTCTATGCCGAAGTGAAGGGCTCTAAGTGAAGGGCTCTAGGCTAGGTTTTCTCATCTGCAATGTGGGGCAACTATCCCTATCTGATCAGGTGTTGTGGGAATTACAAGTGCCTGTGGTAAGTCCCTGGGTAAATGGTAGAGATAAAGATGAAAGTGCTTGTGAGGGGCCACAAGTTCCCACCCCAGGCAAGCCCTACTTGGAGAGGTTACAAGATTCAGGAGCTCTGTCTCCAAATGTTCTCTGGGAATTTTCTGTGTAGCCTGCCTCCTCCAATTGCTTCTGCTAACCGGAGATAGCCACCTGCCATCCTATAGTTGCTCCTCAGTTTGTTTTTTTGTTTCCTTTCACTGTGTCCCTGCACCTTTCTATTGGCTCATGTGGCGACCTTTGCCTGCCTCATCCCCACCCCATCCCCCGCACCCCGTACCCAGCCCTTAATGCCTTTGGGGAGAAGGGGTAATGTTCTTTTATTTTTTCCTAACTATAAGGGCAATAAATGCTCTTATTTTTAAATACTGTTATCGACAGGAAAATATAAAAAAGAAAACAGAAATCCCCCATAATCTCACAGTTTAAAGATGTCACTGCTAGCATCTTGGCGTATTTCCTTCGAATAGCCTTTTTCTAGACATGAACATAACCATAATTGGGATCTGTTTTTTTTTTTTGAGTGGTATTTTGGGACCCACTTTTCTCACCTGACATAATGTTAACATGTTCCTATAGCAGTGGAATTTCTTTAAAAGCATGACTCTTAATGCATGTAGAATACTACATTATAAGAATGTATTTCATTTTCATTTTAACCACTCTTCATATTGCTGTGAGTTGTATCTTCTTTTGCCTTTTTAAAATAAATCTGCAATAAGCATCTTTGTGCATAATTATTTATGCGCTTCTCTGATGATTTACTCGGGGAAAAATTCCCAAGGGGAATCCCTGAGTCAAAGGATATGAACATTCTAAAGGCTGTTAGCATGTACTGAACAAATGTTTCCCATGGAGTTTTTAGCAATGTTAACATGTGTATAGATTTATGTAACTATTACCATACTCAGGATACAACAATACCATCACTCCAGTAACTTCCTTTCTGCTATCCCTTTATAGTCATCCCCCATAATCCCTAAAGGGTTATGAAATGTTCAGTTCCATAGTGTGGAATTAACTGTATTATCAGCTAATCATCCTAATAGCATTATGAAGCCCCTAAATTAAAACAACCCATTCAGGTATTAGTAGGAAGTTCCTGAATCGGGTTACAATAGCAGCCAAGACTCTGTCCCTGGAGTGAGTGGATCTGGTAAGGACCCCTCTAAGAGTGGTGCCAGAAAGAGTATTTCTGCCCGTTAGGACTGTGAGGCATACTGAGACTCACCCACTGGGCTGTGGGGCGAGAGGCATGAGGAAGCCAAGACAAAGCTGGAGTAGGATTAGTGGGAATGGAATTACTAGTAGTTATAGAGTGGACCCTCGAGGCAGTTAAAAGTCTAAATTTTGAGAGTCAAGGACTGGGGCTGAATATGTGCCTGGCATGACTTAGATTTAACACAGTGGAATTGATAGGTAAAGGTCTGACTTGGGTGACACAATGAAGATACTCATCCTAGGCAGATGCAGCATCTTGGTATGATGGGAAAGAGAAATATGAGGAGGGGAGGAAGGGGGCATCTGCCCACTTTGAGAAAGAAAAGGCTCAGGGGGTGATAAGGACATGGTCTGAGGTCCTGGGCAACAGGGGTTCACAAGGACTCCACTGAGGCATCAGGACTCTGCTAAATAGGAAGGTGAATAGGTGAGCCTCCCGTTCTAGAGAAGGAATTAGAAGATCAATTAGGAACCAAGTTGGTGGCTCAGGGGCCCAGAACACGGCAGGGGTTAGGTGTTTTGTAACGAGATTATATAGCTCTAGGCAGTGGTTCTCAAACTTTAGTATGTGGCAGAATGCCTCCAAAACCTGGAGGTTTCGTTAAAACACAGATTCCTGGTCTCTACCGCCTGAGTTTCTTATTCAGTAGTTCTAGAATGGGGAGTGAGAATTTCTGACAAGTTCCCAGAATTTCTGCTGTTCCTTTGGGGACCACACATTGAGAACTACTGCTGTAAGGCAAAGAAAATATTGGGATTAGATGGACAATCTCACTCCCATATTACCCAACACAGGTGGAAAAGGCGCTCCTAAATGTATCGAAGGGCATGGTAGCGCTAAACTTGCAGCTTGAAGTGTTTTGTGCTTCCAGGAAGGCATATAGGACAGGAAGGAAAGGGTAGGAAGGGGGTGGGAAGACCCCTTTTCAGGTGACTCAAGTGTCAATGGAATTCTTGCATCACTGGAGTTCTTTCAAGCATAGGTAATAACAGAGATGTCAAGAGATATCATTCTGATTTAAAGTGGCAGGACCTATAATTGTCAATCTCTGCTGCAGGATCCATTTTCTTCTGTTAAGACTAATTTGCTTATTTAAGAAATAATAAAAATAATGCTCCCATACATTAGTATAGCACATTGTAATTTACAAAATGTTTTCACATGATATCTTATTTGATCTCCCAAATCCTGTGAGAGATGCAGGGCAGGTATTTTTACCCCATCCTTTGGATTACTGATTCTCAAAGTATGGTCCCTGGACCTGCAGCATCAGCATCACCTAAGAACTTGGTAGAAATGAAAATCCCAGCCCCACCTAAAACCTACCGAATCAAGTTTTGAGGGGCCAATAATTTACATCTCTAACAAGTTCCCAGGTGATCTGATGTTGGTGCTGCTAGTCCGGGACCACACTTGGATCAAAACTACTGCTATAGAATAAAATGAAAGATCTAGAAGTCCAGGGACTTGTCTTAAGAGGACTCCTACCTGGGTGCTTTTTCCACTACTGCACCTGCTGCATCCCCACTCCAGCCCCGTTCCTTCCAATCCCAGTTCTATCGCTTGTGAGTTTGAGGCCCTGAGCAATTACTCTCAATTGCAATTTCCTCACCTGTAAAATGGGGATAATAGGATCTATGTCTTTGGGTTCTTATGAAGATTATATAAGATCTAGGTAAAGTACTTAGCACTGTGCCTGTGCTTAATAAATACTAGCAATTACCATGGTTTTTATTAGTTATTAAACATGTGGTATTTCATTAGAATGAATAACTTTGTAAGTTCTTTTCTTTGAGCGTGTGTCCCTCTTAAAATGAGGGATATCCCTGGCCAATTTAGACATAAGGGCACATCTTTAACACCTCATCCGGGATGTTTTTGTGATTACATCCCCACTCCCCACCCCCAAGCATTTGCTGAGAGCAGGGTGCTTAGGAAATAGGAGCAGAGGAATAATAATAGACCAGCGGGTGGAACATTGGATTGAAGGGCAGACAACAGCAAGACTTTATACTGAGGAAACTCAGAATAGCTGGGCTGGGGGAGGAGTGGCTGAGAGAGGAAGCGATTGGGGAGGGCAGTCAGAGGTGGGAGGCCAGGTCAAAAACAATCTATCGCCTTCAGAGTTCCCCGTAGGACAGCCCCAGAACTAGGCTCCAGGCCATGCCAAGCCTCAGGAGATCTGCCCCCTGCCCTTGTTGCAGTCAAGGGGGTGAACACTCAGGTGCCACAATGAATGCTCTGAGAGGCCCTCTGAGGTCAGCTGGCAATTGTGGGCACAGGGAGTTTGGACTCAAAAGTGGCTTTGTCTTCAGGGTGACTCCTATTTGGCAAAATTCTGACTACAGCACATCAAAGGCTCAGGCCAGGGACATGGTCCTTTTTTAGTGGAGGTCTGTTACGTTCTTTCTCGAGGCGCCCTGGGCCCCCACCCCAGGAAGCGGTTTTATTTTATCTGGTAGTGCAGCCCGGGTCACCTGCCCCGAGTGGACCGAGACCTTTGCAACGGAATTAAACAGAAAAAACAAAAGCAGCAAGTTCGGGCCCCGTGGGCACGAATGGCCAGCCAATGGGGCCCGGCCGCTCCCCGGCGGAGTGGTACTATGATGACAGTAGCCAACCAGCGCGCTCCATGCAAATGAGGTACTGTAA